CTTATTTGATACCAAAAATTTTTTTTTTTTTTTACATATATATATATATAAAAAAAAAAAAAAAAAGAATCTGACTTGTATTTACCTGATCAGGTTCCAATTGGATAGCCCTATCGTAACAGGCTGTCGCATCTCTTAACAAGCCAATACTTTCATGTTCAAGGATTTGTTCTTTCAGAGATGGTTCTGCTTTCCGAATTGCACTCACCCCAGCTACTCCATCTGGCTCATGCATAGCAGCATACAATTTCTTCATTCAAACAGAATTGGAAATGGACATTAAAAACAACTCTAAGACAACAAGAAGATATTTTATATATAACATGCTCAGAATCACGTGTCTTCTTGAAAATGGAGAACAATCTACTCTGTAGGACTTTTTGGCATTAAGCTACTTCCAAAGTTGAGCCCTACTTTTGCTTAGCATACTGTAATACTCATGATCTCATACTATAGAAAGAATAAGAAAGAGTAACACGTCAAGATGCTGAAACAATCTGTATAAAGGACAAAATAAATATCCTGTTATTACATGATAAAGTTCTATAATATGAAGCTGCAGATTACTTAAGGTGGAAAAGTTTTTCCACTAAGTTTTTCAATTTGAAACGTCACTGAGGAATATAAACCACAAAGACCCACAAACAGGGTCATCCCACAGGTTAAAATACTTCTTGAAAATAATTTAAATGGTTTTCAACTCCCTTAGCATTAGCTCTTTCTCTACTTTAGAATAAGCCACTAAGCTTTCCTTCAAATGTGTTTTTTTTGGGTTTTTTTGGTTATTATAGTTGGCTGTGTTTTCTGACAAAAGGCACAGAGTTAACTAAAAGCAATAAATGCTATACTTTCAACAAAAACACATTTAACTATTTTCAGGATTTTACAATCTTTCACTATAAACTAGAAAGCTGCTACTTCCTTTTCATATAAGAAGCGTGCCAAGCAAGGGGAAGCACTAAATATTGCTGAAAGACAGATGACTAAACACTTGTATCCAATAGCAAGAACCTGACTACATCTTCTCTTCTTCCCATCTCAAAGAAGAATTTGACAAAGCTTTATTCATCTATGTCTATTTTCATTACAATATAAAACAAGCAAAAACCAAAAAGAACTTCAGAACCTGAAGAAATCCAAGGTGCTCCTGAATATTTTGTTTCTTCTCTGTGATGAATGATTCAAAGTGCATCACAGCCCTTGTGTAAGCCTTAGAGCGAAAGGAAGCCACAGCTAGCGTATCCTGAGGTATGAGGTCTAGAAAACGTGTCACGTTCTGATATTCTCCATAGTCCTCACTTGATGCTATAGAAAAAAACATTTTAAAAAGTCTGTCCATTGAGGTTTTATTTATAAGAATTACCTTATGCATCAAAATTCAGCTAATTCATTTCACAATTTAGTGAGATAATCTGATTAGTTTAAGAACATATTTTTCTCTTCTGTCAACAATAATTTATCTAAAACAATCCTGGCGAATGCTGTACATCTTGCAAGACAGCACAGAATATGTTAAACTGATCCTTTAGAAAACTACCAAGAAATTAACATTTCATTTTTTTATTTTGAATCTGTATTTCTTACAATAGGCATTCAAAACAATGGATTAGGGGTGGAAGGGTGGAATTCACAATATGATAGTAAGAAATCATAAAGCAGACAGAACAAGTCTTCTGAGGAGCGGCTGAGGGAACTGGGGTGGTTTAGTCTGGAGAAAAGGAGGCTGAGGGGAGACCTCATCGCTCTCTACAACTCCCTGAAAGGAGGTTGTAGCGAGGTGGGGGTCGGTCTCTTCTCCCAAGTAACTAGTGATAGGATGGAACAGGCTGCCCAGGGAAGGGGTTGAGTCCCCATCCCTGGAGGGATTTAAAAGACGAGTAGATGAGGCACTTAGGGACATGGTTTAGTGGGTGGTGGTGTTGGGTCTACGGTTGGACTCGATGATCTTAGAGGTCTTTTCCAACCTCAATGATTCTATGATTCTATGATTCTATGAACATATTATAGTAATATTGCATTCTTAAATGGTCGTAATGTGAAGTGGCAAACTTAAATACTTATTTGAAGAATGTAAACGTCACTTTAAATAAAATAAGCATCACTCACTTTTTAGATCAGCTCTGTCTTTGCTAGACTTGCTAGTATTTTTCTCAGCAATAAGCATTTGAAACTTATGTCTAGCCCACTGAGTTAGATGATCAAGCATGGAGAACACCGTCTGTGTGCTCAGCTGACTTAGATCAGATGCACTGTCTTCAAGTCTCCTAGTAGACTGGTCATCATGTTTCAGAACAGCCATAATCTCCATGTAAACCTACACAAACGTTAATGTGATAAAAGGCAGAAGTGCCATACAGGCATCAAAATAGTAGGAAAGAGCAATTAACACAAAAATCAAACTAAAATACTAGATATTTTAATTGTGTTTTTTAATAATTTTGGGCTTATTTGCAAGCTCTGTTTGTCCCACAATCTTAAGAGGAAGAAATGGCAAACCAAGTAGCAGTTGCTGTCAGGAGATTCCATACAGGGAGAAAGCCTTTGAAAAGCAAACCCTTGGATTCAGAATAACCATCACGATTACTGGAATTTTAGGTTTCAAAACACAATGAATGCTACTGCACTTCTGCTGCAAATACAATACTTCAAGGTTTGGTAAGAGTCAAGTTATCTACTGGCTACCAGATCACAGATCTACTTTTTGCTTATATTTAAGTAAATACCATGCTGAAAGACCTGCTTCCTGTTTGTTTTAGTCAACAGAAGATGAGTTAATGTACATAACAGATGCTTATTGTGGATATACTTGTTCACACAAGAAAAATCATTACACACCTCTACACACCCACAATGTTTAAACACAGATATCTTAGCTGTGAAATTTCAAATTAATAGAATGTAAGTTATATTTTTGAGTCTCTTCAACTTCTGCTAAAGCAAACTGAAAGAAAGCAGACTGGATGATTCTTTTCTCTCCTACCCCTGCTTTGCTACAAGATATCTATGAATCCTGCTCTGTGCGAATCTGGTAGCGAAATAGTTTTTCCACTTAAACTGTAAGTGTATGCAAGTGAGAGAAAAAATTATGGGTCTGAACTCTTGCAAGTATACAAGTTCAATTTATTCCTTGTTTGTATTGCGCTCTCTTCCTCTTTGTACCACTCCAGCTCTTGGTGTTACTGCGGTCATAATTAACTGCATATCTCGTCCTAGGCCCTGCTGAAGAAATAGATGGAAATCCACAGAAAAGCACTTCAACACAAACTTGTATGAGTATATTCAAAACCCTGGCAGAAAATTTATATTATTAATACAGGAAAAGGAGTTTAACACCTATATCATTTGTTCATGTAGGTCTACAGTAATTCTGCAGAGCTGAACAGCTCTTAGGAAGAACAGCTCCTGAACATTCCTATGAGGAACACTACCTTCTTATACATCTCACCTCTTGTTGATCCTCTTGACTGCATCCCAACAAAACATAGACAAGGATATGTGGAAGCAGATAAATTGTCACTTTATAGTCATTCTTCATCATAATACTGCAGCAATCGAAAACTTTTCTGGCAAGATCATGTCGCACCTATAGAAAAATATTATTTCCAGGAAAAGCATCATTACAAAAGTGCAAATGCGTGAACAATTAATAGGTTTCTTTTTGTTGACAAATACAAATTCTATCCCATGAAATAATTTTAAGATACTCATCTCCTACAGAAGGTTCATCAGACTTAAACCTGCAACAGGGATGCCAGATGGCAGCTGCTATTACATGTATCAATTGCTGATACCACAAAAAGACAGGCAAGCATTGCTTACATGTTCCACTTTTCATGTTTTCTATACCATTGTGAACTTGCACTTGCCATAGAAAAAACCTTAAGACCAAGAGTCTACTACTGCAGTCAGACTCTCTTCTGCCCTTAAAATCCTGCAAAAAGTAGGAAATTATGAAGACATTCAATTCTTCTCTGTCTGAAATAGAAAGAGGACAGTGTAGCTACTGAGATACTGTGATAAATTCACTTCATAAAGTAGTTGATTTAGAAGTGCAGTTTTCAGGGGGTCACTTACATGTTGGAAAGGGGAAAGGAAAAGAAGAAAGGGACAAATGCTTCTTATGTGCTGGGACTGTGGAGCTATGGGGAAATGAAAGAAATCCTTCAGAAACTGAGAAGGTAAATTTGAGGTTTTCCAGAAGCATTTCAGATACTTTTCAGAAGCATTTGTCAGTGCCTTCAGCTATACAAGAGTCTCTGGACAAGGGCAAACTTGCTAGACTTTTGGCTTTGACACTACCTGTGAAGCCTAGCCAAGAAGCAACACTGCTGGGGAAGGGAAAGTGCATGGTTACCTTGATGATGCAAAGAAGTCTTTAGGTATGTGCTTTAACAGGCCTATAGAGAATAGGCATATTCCCCCAGCTATCCCTGACTTTCAAAAATCAAAACGTAGTTCAAGAACTGTGTTGTATATACCAATATAAACAGCAGATTGATTCTCTTACCTTTGTTATAAGATAACCCGCCCAAGTTGCCGACCATTCTGCAAAATTATCACCTAATTTGCTTAAGTAAATTGGCTTCTTCATCTTAGACCAATTTACAGCCTTTTGATAACTCTTGTACCTGTAATTTTAAAATACCCATTCAATAAAACTAACTTTTTAATTTAATATAATAAAAAACAATAGCACATTGTTAATTACGAAGTTCCCTAACTGGAATCGTATTAGGTTTCATCTTCTGAATCTTCTAAAAAAGAATTAATAAAATACTTTCAGTAGTCAACATATTTTATTCTAGAGTTTCTTAAAATGAAACATGAAATACAAACAACATAACATGTTACCACAATTTTTAAGTATACTGCAAAGTGCTGTTCAAATCAGGTTTTTCTGAATACTACATTTTGACAGGAAAAACCCAGAACAAATATGAAAGCCAAGAAATGCCAAAAAGTTTGTTTTCTAAAAAGGTAAAACTTATCACAGATGAGTACGACAGTCTTCATGAGGAAACAGAAAGGAAACATTGTTGATTATTTCAAATTAAGGTGCATAATAATTTGAAGTTTTCTTCACATGGTTTTTATCATTAATTCGACAAAATAAAAAGTCAAATTAAAACTCAATGAGCTCTTCCTACTTCTATAAAGGGTAGCAGTAAAGGGATATTAATGGATTTGAGTACAAACTCAAATGCTAGGGAGAATTTGTACAGAGGAAAGAAAACAGAAATAAAAGCTTCAAAACATCGTATAAGAAAATGGTCTAAGGACAAACAGGCAGATCCGGGCAAAGTATGAGCTCAGAATTTTGCTCTTTTGATTTACAGTGAATTACATTCAAGGAAGTGCTAATTCAGCTTTACGTAGAAAGATCTTATGTGAATTTTGTATATACACATATCACTCTTCACACAAGAGTAACGATCACAAAACCAAATGAAGTTATTGCTAGCCTCGAGGGAAAAAAAAAGTTTTTAAAGCTGTTATGAAAAGAAATTTCTTAAGTTGTCATATACCGTGTATTTAAGTGAGGTTCCAAGATCTCCTGCACTTGCTCAGGAAACCTCCGCCAAAGCCTGGAGCCTGGGCAGTCAGTGTCTGTCTCTCTACAGTCATAGATAGACAATAACTCCTGAAAAGGCATGGTTTACATGACCAAGTTAGCACTGAAAATATTTCATGACCACAGTAGTAATAAAAACTGGTATTTATATATATATATATATAGGTATTTAAAAGACGAGTAGATGAGGCACTTAGGGACATGGTTTAGTGGGCATGGTGGTGTTGGGTTGACGGTTGGACTCGATGATCTTAGAGGTCTTTTCCAACCTCAATGATTCTATGATTCTATATACAGAAGTAATGAGATAGAAGTTACAAAATGTTTAATTCAGAAATTAGAACTGCAAAACTTTGATCCAACATTGTTAATCCTCTATTGAGGATTAGCCGTGTTGATTTCAACTAGCTATTGATTCCCCAGGTGGTGTTTCGACCACATTATCCCTATCCCGTATTCTTCACATCTGCCAATAAACCAGGACCAGAAGTTAGTCTGATTCCTCCTTGTGCATAAGCTAATGAAATTCTCTTATTCCGCTGACTACATGGGGCCCACTTATTTTCTCCTGGAGCAAAGAATTGTCCTGAAGTTTTTGGAAAGATATTAAATAACAACAACAAAAAAGGTTGGCAAACCAGCACAAAAGACTAGAGTCTGAAAATAAGGATAGGCTCACTTTCAGTTGCTTCCTAAAAGTGCAAGCAGAAACCCTCTTAGGAATACTTACTGCTTTTCATTTCTGCCTATGGAACCTGCACCATTTCTAAGCCAGTCTCAGGATTACTCCTTGAATCACTATGTCTGGACTGTTAGTTACACCTCTGAAACATCAGATCTCTCCTAAAATATCATGACACAAAAGCAAACAAATCTTCATTTATTTGACAACACCCCAGAATTCTAAGTGAGCACTGAGGAGTTTAAAAAACAAAAAAAAAAAATCACTATCCTGAATAACCTTTTACCTTGTAATTTAAAGCTGTACAGGATGAAGTTTCAAATACTTAAACATATACTTCAAAATGTACATTTATACTGCATAATTCTATGTTCAGTGTGACAGAAAATAATTTGTGAACAAAAAATAGGATCTAACCACATATCTTACCTGAATTGCATATGCTGCAGAATCCTGAGCACGAACATTATCAGCGTAAGCAAGGAATGCTCTGGTCAGTTCCATTAATAACCCATAGGCAAAATTTGGATCCTCCACACCAGCCTCAATCACAAACAGAACGCCAGTTTTATTAAAGCAAACAGAGTAATAGCTGTATCTTTAATCTCCAGATGATCACTTTGAAGCCTGACTCTAAACGGTTTTATATGAGAAAGCAAGTATAGATTTTCAAAGGGTCTAAAGATAAGCAGTTCCCTACTCCCAAGTACTTTTAAAAAACTTAATGCTAAACAAAACACTACAGCAACACTTCTTACCACAAATGTAAAATGTTTTCCTTGAGTTTCACTTGTTGAAAAATCCAGCCTGCCGGGATCTATGGCTCCCAGTTCACCTAAACATTCTCCACAAAGTAGTCGGGCTTGAGAATTTGCATCCTGGCAGCCGATTAGAAGTACAGTTACCAACTGGGAGATGACTGGCTCCACAGTTTCACTGTCTGTTACATACTTTATCAATTTTTCCTAGGAAGTTGAAAAATAAAGATGAGTTATTCTACAATCATGTTTATGGTAAACATTCTTGGAAATTTTCCAACTGTAACTCACTCTTACTTCATATTTCATTTACCCGTGACTTTAGGTTAGTGATTCAAATACTGTCATTTTGTAACTATAGCCCAATTGCCCTAAATTGCTTGTTACCCTAGGAAGCACTAAACAAATGAATAAGAATGAGGGATTTGGGCCTCAATTAATAATGCTGTCATGGCCAATATTGTATTTCATTATCATACACCTCTCAACTAACTTCATTTTCTCTCCTTGTCTTACCAAAAACCTCCCTTCTTTTCTACATTAATCTTTTTAATTTTTCTGTCCCTTTTCTTCATGTGTTTTCAAGTCCAATCAATGCCCATCATTTTAATTGGATTTCTTCACTCCCCACAAAGCCCAGGGTTTCAAGTCCTTTAATCAATGCCAATGCCTTTAATTGGATTTCCTTTCTATTTCATTCTGGCCCAGCTTTTATCCCCCAGTTCCACATTTAGTCCAAATATAGAAAAAAATTTTCTCTTAATAATGTGAAGATGTTTGCCGTTGTTATGCTTAATGAAAACCGAAACCACAGCCAACATAACAGAGCAAATAGTTCCACAAGTTGTGGAACTAATTAAGTTTGATTTGCCTCAATTATTTTGCTAGACTTCTAAGCAAGACATGGCAAGATTTTGCTGACCTGAGCTGCAAGATTACTGATTGGCCAGGAATATACACAATGATTGTTTGTTCTTTCAGCTAGGATTTTTTTTTAATTTCTGACTGAAGAGTGTCCCACAGTCTTATAGGTACCAAGAGGACAGATTTAGTATTATTATTATTTTTTTAATAGGTCACATACACCCCTCTGGGCTAATAACCACATGGATTTGCAAAGCAGCATCTTCGCAACTTGTACATGGCTATAAAATTTATTTGAATATGATCAATGGATTCAAATTTTTGAGGGGGGAAGGCAAAGAAGGAAGAGAAAAAAAAGTATCAAAGGTGTGAGGTGGTCACATACATCTTGATTCTTTCAGATATTACACTCACACACAAAAAATGCTGGCTTTAATGTATTGGTCTCCTGATGCAAAAGCCATACATGTTCTAACAGAGAACAAGCCCACACAATAGATTGCTAAAATGGACTTCTTAGCCACACCTTTCCTCAGAGTTGAAAAAGGTAGAAAATATACCACTAGCCTTGCTGAATCAGCATCACACAGATTAGGAGGATTTGAAAGTCCTCTTACAAGGAGACATGATGAAGAAGAATTCCTTAGAATCATAGAATCATTGAGGTTGGAAAAGACCTCTAAGATCATCGAGTCCAACCGTCAACCCAACA